AAAGCAAGCCTCATAATGTCCCTGGTGCATGGTGCCTCCTCGCTCCCCAAAATGTTCTTTTGGATGATTCTGTTCCAAGCTGCCCGTTGCAGCCAAAAATTCCAGTGCCACTCTGACGCTGCATAAACATTGCATCCTGAGAAGGACGTCAAAATACAGTCAAGTTCATGCGCTTCTCAGGCAGTGCTGTGCAACGAGGGTCCATTTCTTCACCGCCGCGGGCCACTGAGAAGCAGTAGATTCTTGGAGCTGCCGCTGATGGTACTGTCGGGACTGGATATTCGCCCTTAGCGCAATTCCGGCATGCATGAACTTCTCGTCTGTATCTTCAAATGAGCAAAGGCACAAAGTCCACTGCAAAAATGGGACATGACACAATGTTCAACACCAATTTTGACACGTTGTATATGTTTCCAGGAGCCTCAAAACCTTAGGCTCAATGTTTAACAGTTTTTTGGACCTCCTGCCGTCAACTTTGCAGCACTTTCCACCGTTCCACCTGGCAATTGCAATGCTTTGGCTTTTGTTGCATGTCGGGCCAGCATTGGCTTTCCTTGTTTGCCTTTGGGTTGCTTGCTTGGTTGCTGGCGCTTGGCTTTGAGTGGCTTGGCTTTGTCAGAGCTGGACAGGGTTGGGGGAAAGGCGCAGCACCAGTGATTCAGTGATTCCGTTGGTCCGTCTGTCCGTCCGTTCTTCTTTCCTTTTTTCCTTCTTTCTGGCTTGCAATTGGCTTGCTTGCGGGCTGGCTGGCTTGCTTCCTTTTGCTTCACTTGCTGGTGGTGGTCCAACAAGCAAAACACACACAGCAGAAACACAACAGGCAGAAAAGCGAAGCAAGGAGAAAGAGCAAGCAATGCAAGAAAACAACTATGCAAACAAAAACTGTGACACAGAGACTTAAAAATCAAACAAAAAAACAACCGCAACATATCACAAAAACCAGGAAGCAACTAAGCAGAAGCAGCGAACCACAAGTGCTTCTGAAAAAATAAGATTAATAACACCATGAAAATGAATACAAAAATAACTAGAAAGCACACATCGAACAAAGAGTGGACATTCAGTTCAGTGGGACCTGCTTGGTGAAAGAGGGAAGACATCTCCGTGGCATTGAAATGACGAAGATATGATGCAATAAGTCCCTGGTTGCACCAAACATTGGTTGATGCACCGATAGTAAATCTCTTGGCCTAGCTGCTGGGCAGGGGCGTTGGCATCCCGCTTGCCTCAGCTTCAGCTCCAACAATTCAAATCCACTCAGACGACAGAACTGCAGATCGCTTTTCTCATGATTTGTTTAGCCTTAGATTATTCTGCATTATGTTACGTTGTTTTTGTGTTTTATTCGGAAAGGGTACAGTATGCTTTTTCCGATCGGCAGCCATGAAAGCTAGAACAGCTCGAGCATCACGGGTGTGGTCTATGTTCAACAGATTCACAGCCGACTGCCGCTAGGAAGCTTGTTTTGCCAGAGCCATTCTTGAACCGTATGGCGATTGGCCTGCCTGCGCAATGTCTAAAGGACACACGAGAATGAACGAGTGATTACGATGATTGAAAGTTGACGCCGTCATATCAGTTACATTGCTCTTGCAACTCTTGACCCCTTGAACTTGAAAGTTACATCCTTGTGATGTTGTACTTGGCCGGTTGTTCGATCAGCCCGATCCACTTGTGCCAAAGCACCTGGGCGACAAGCAGGAAAAGTGACTGTCAGTGCTTTATGATGGTTTTGAGAAGAAGAAGAAGAAGAAGAAGAAAAGACCCCTTTGACAAGGCCAAGGCCCCCTTGAATGGGGCCGAAAGAAGCTGGCCCTTCCCTTCTTTTTCATGCCACCATGCCACCATGCCATCACAACTCAAGTCAAGGAACAGCACCGTAGCAAGAATCTCCCGGGACTGCTGTGTGACAGGCTTCTGCAGCCTCAGGGAAGCAAACAAATGGGAAGAAACAAAAATAAATCGTTTGCGAAAGTAAAGACCAAAAAGGCCGGGCCACTTGACACAAGGAGTTTGCGTTCCACCAGCACCAATGAGTTAACACACTAGAACATTAACATGTGAACCTGAATCAGCAGCAAGCTCAATACCAAAAAAAGACTTCTAAGAAACATTGAGTGGTGCGAACTCTTCTTTCATCGTTGGGATCTGTGTCCGATCCTCAGATGGTGCAGAATCCACGTCATTGTGGTGAAAATTGCCAACATATACTCCCAAGTCAGTCATTTCGCTGAGTTTCTCTGAAGAGACAAAAGAATAGTGCAAGTCCCAAAAGCAGCAAACCCGTCACCTGGCTCGACTCACTCGCTCGCATGAATATCTATCGCTGCGGGGCTCGCCACGCCATAAAGCGGAACAGTGAGTCCTAATCCAGGCACCTGAACAATTCTCTTGGTGCTGTGAGAGATCGCCTGCCAAATGCGAGAAAATCCGAGAATCACGCAGGCAAGCGCTCAAAAGAGTTGAACTAGAGTGAGAGGGCACCCGGCTTTGACAAACACCTAGCCAACAAACAGCACGTAACAGCATAGCCGCGGCCACAACTCCAGGGCGGGTGCACGGGTGCACAACGTGTGACGAGGCCAACAAGTCAGAGAATGAGTTTTGTGAACGTTGTTACAGCAAAGACTGTTACGGCTCACGCTGGCACAGGCAAAGCATAACAGCCACTGCCATGAAAGAAGAAAAGGAAAAGTGAAATAAAATCGGAACCAAATGCAAAAAGAAAGAAGAACTAAATGACAGGGTGGCCCGAAAGCACACCAGGAGGGAGAGAGGCATTGAAAGAATGCCTAGCATGAACGAAGCAACAAGGCACATGTTGGTACACTACAATGTAATCATGAAAAAGACAGAAAAGAAAGAATAAGAAAATAAAGTCTAAAGGCATCTAAAAAGGTAAAGAAAGGTCCAAACATATTTACAAAGACAAGAAAGAATGGTCTAGAGATGTTTTCTAAACTAAGTGTTAAGTTACCCTGAAATAGTTCGAGCACTTCTTCATGGAAGCTGCCTCCACCCTGAGGCGGGGGGAGCTTCATTGAAGATGCGTGAGCTTTCCTGCGTCCTAGTAGCTTCCTAGCTACTTACCTCACCTCTCTTACTACTCACAACTTAAGTCTACTGTCAGCCTACCTGCCCCCAAAAAAAAGGTCCTTTGATTTGTCTTTCTCTAGAAAAAGAACGAAATCACTTGAGACCGCCGTTTCCTCGGCCAGGAGTGCGTGTTTCGCTCGTGCACTACGTGCATATCCGCCATGTGAAACTTCAAAGTTAAATTCTCCGGCCGGCTCCTGGCAAGAAACGAAAGCTTATATACAACCAGGAAACCACGAAACGAACCAAGGGATCTACCAAAAACAGCTGTGCACAAGTGGTGACCAAAGCATCCATTTAATCTATATTGAGAGGGCAAAAGGCTATTCTGTGTCCTGGACATGCTGCAAGCGCAGGTCATCAATAGTCTCCCCTTTGCATCGAGCATTTGCACGAAAGAATGCAAATACAAGGGCAATGTTCACGCGAAAACTCGCTTTTTTGAGCTCTCTTGAGCTCTCTTCCTGCCGAGCTGCCATCCACATCGGCCACAATTGGAGTCTCCAAGTCGGCTTCGTCGCAGCTCATGTCGAAGCTCTGCAAATGCAGGAACGAGGCCTATAATTTAGCTTGAGCCCTGAGATGTTTCTCGGGATGCGAGGTGAGTCCAGCTCAAGTGACTCAGTGCTTGGTGTGATGTAAGAATCACTTATTTCAAGGATCTTCAAGGACTGGTGCTGCTTTCTATGAATGTTCAGTTTCCTTTTGACTCAGCAACAGGCTTTCCTCTGGTATAGTTTGACTCATATTATGTACATCTTTCGTTAACTGGAGCAAGCTAGCTCAGCTAGGGCCATGTACTGCTCATAGCACTGCTATGTAGAAAAGACTCCTTTGGCCGACATCAACTCATGGACCGCAGGCAGCGCTGCTGGGACTCGGCGGGCCGTCTTGTCTTGACCGGCCGTCTGGACAGGAGTCGGAGGTCGCATAGGTCACGGTAGGTCGTAAGTGCTTCGTCGGAAGTCCTTCGGTCGTTGGCACAAGCGTTTGTAAGTTCGGTCAAAACTGACAGCCTGACAGCCTTCATGTGACCCCTTTCAATTTAGGGAGTTTCTTTGAGTGGCCTTCACTTTCTATGGTTATCCATGTCTGACCTGGCATAAATTTTCAGTGTTCATAGCAAGTCCTTGAAGTCAGCGCTGCTCATCTCTTCCACAAAACTAAAGCTCAAGAGCCTCTTTCCCAGCGATTCTCTCTCTTTCGAAAGAAATCACAAAGATCCAAAGGCAGCTTGGCCTGCCAATCTCGATCCATCTTGACTGGTTTGAAACAGAAGGGGCGTGTGAGAGGAATGTTGTGCACGAAGCCTTCACGTGATGTTTAGGCAACCAGCTTAAAGAGAAAAAACTTCAAAACCAAACTCTCTTCCCAACAGATCAAGAGATCCTCTACTTCTTGCAACCGTGTTTAACTCATTTTATGCCGCGTGCGTACGCACGGCTGCGCACGGCTGCGCACCTGCCATCCAGGAATAGATCTGAGAGGCAAGACCCAAATGTTGCGCCATGCCGGGAGTGACTCCAGGCATTTGCCAACTGGAAACCATTCGATGTGTGTTTGAATTCGACTGCAATCGAAGAATTCCATCATCCTTTTGAAATCTGTGACAAGGTAAAGTAACATATCGCAATATGGCAGAATGTTGGCAGTGCTAAGAAAGCGACTTGTGATTTTGGACTGAAGGATGTGCAGCATGCCTCTGAATTTACGTGTTCCCACAAGAAAAGCACGCGTTAAAAAGGACTTGATTAAAAGCTGAAAGCGTTGTGCAAAGCGTCAGCACACATAATAAGAGATTCTCTTGTGCCTCGCGGCATTCAAGACACCGTGCAAAGCTGCCAGCTGTTGGACTTGCAGTCTGAACGCTTGCTGTTGGATCTGTGCCGCTTGGGCTACTTGTGCTGCGTGGGCTGCTTGGGCAGATTGGAGTAGCGTTAGCTGATCAACGTTGGTCGCGTCATGCGGAACCAGCAACGGCGGTACTTGCGCCCCTGCATGCTCAAGGCCAGGACCACTAGCATCAGGTGGAGACTCCTGAAATCTGACACGTTCAACCAAGAACCAACAAAGAGTATCCACAAGCAAGTATGTAAGAATATGTAAGAAAGACTTTCAAATCATTTTGATGGATCATTCCAAGATTTCCAAGAAACCTGCTTTGGCTCCTGAGCATATGACTCCAGCACCCTGGTAAGCTGCTGCTCACGCTGTGCTTGCAGTCGCTCCTCGAAGCCAAAGCACCACTAGGTCACTAGAACTGTGGGTCAATAGGTGCTGGTGGAACACCTCAGAACCTACCAGCAATGGCCTCGAACCTACTAGCGATGGCCTCAAACCTACTTGCGATGGCCTCCAACCTGCTAGCGATGGCCTCCAACCTACTAGCGATGGCCTCAAACCTACCAGCAATGGCCTCGAACCTACTAGCGATGGCCTCCAACCTGCTAGCGATGGCCTCCAACCT